TGAGCGTCAATATAAAAAAAATGTTACACATATGTAAAAAGGGGATGCTATCTTTCCAGACTTTACGGTAACAAAAACTTCAAACCCCTTTTTCTCAAAATGACAATAGACTTTATTTGATGATTTTTCCACATAATCCCAAATCCGTAATATAACAATTACCTCCTTGCAATAGTATATTACCACTATGTAAATCACAATGGACTAAATCTTTTTTATGTATATCATTTAATGCAGCACATAAATAATAAAAGATTGTAATTCTATCTTTTAATGTTAAATTTAAATGATTTCTTTGCAAATAATCCCTCAAGTTCCTTTCTGAAGCACAAGTTAAAACCATTGCATAATTTCCATTATCTGGGAATTTAGTTATACCATAGCATTGAACAATCATCTGTGATTTAATTTTACAATAATTCATTGCCTGAAAATAAAACCAATTAGTATTATATAATAGAGCATTGTTTATTTGGGTCCCGTCCACTTTACTGGCAACCACTTTACTGACAGTACACTTCACCAACAACACGTGATGTGATATTTTAGCATTTTATTAGTTGTTTGATTGTGTGAAGGTTAAAAGTAACCCCGTGTGTTGTCGGTGAAGTGTCCTGTCAATGAAGTGGGTGTCGGCGAAGTGATCCAGACCCATTTATTTTTGTTTTAAATGACAATTACCAACCTCATCAAAAAAGTCTTTTCCTGGGTTACTTGAATCATTTAAATTTTTAATACTACTTTCCGCCTCCCAGAGTAACTAAATTGTAATCAAATATTCTTCCTCTTGTCCATGTAGCTTTATAAATTGAACTAAATCCACCTTCAGTTAATTTTGTTACTTTTTCAAATTGCTCAAAAGGTATCCATTCTAAAATATAGTTTGGCAGAGATGATTTCATTTGACATTGTTGAATAAATTTATCAACTATGTTATTTCCAGATGTCCAAGTGGCGAAAAGACTCTGTAATTGTAAACTAATACAACTTTCACAGAACCTATCAGGGTATTTTATCAAGTTACACTTGTTGCATTCTTTCGGTTTGCCCAATTTACTCCTTGCACTATTTAATTCAAACACATAAATAAATCTTTTTTTACAATATTTTTTTTCATTTTTAGAAAGCTCCTTGTTTTTTTTGACCAATGAAAAAAAATAATCTTTTCGATTCCTTCTTCCAGAATTAACCAAAGCATTATTATACATTTTATTATGAGTTTTAATCACGAACTCTTCTCTTTCTTGTGTTCCTTGTAATAATAAACGATTATACGACATTATATAAAAATATTTTATAAAATTTTAAAAAATTGACTTGGTGTTTTACTGGAAAACATTAACCCGTTCATTTGTATTATTTTCTGCGAGTAACGTGTAACAACATAATATTAAAGAATTTGGTGAATTTCGATTCAGCGGATAGTTTTGGACAACAGGGAAAATTTTCCAAAACTCGTTAAACCAATATATCCACTATATCGGGAAGGTTTTTGTTAAGGTTTATTATAGAACCGTTCTTTGAACTTTATTCGTAAAACCGAGTTCTTTAATTAGTATTCGCTAAATCGAGATTCGCTGTGTAAATTGTTTTACTTGTATCAAGTGTTTTTATTACGTCAAATGTTTTTAATTACGGTGAGAAACTACCTTTAGACAAATACTTAGTTACGTTAATGACTAAAGTCAAAAGCTTCGTCGTGTATCATTAATTCAAACCATCACTATCAAAATCTTTTTTTATTATTTCTTGGTCCACAAAATAGATATTACTTTTCTGTAACTCATTAAATCTCATTTTGGTTTCAGTTTGAAGCAGACACCAAGCTACCACTGGGACAAGTAGACGTATTCGACTGGTGACTGGGATTCACCAGAACTATAGGACAACAAAGGGAAAAGGATGGAAAACAAATGAGCATAGGAATAAGCATTCAGAAAAAATTGGAAGCAATTACACTTATTCTTCGAATCAGAAAGTGAGTATCGGATGATAAGAAATAATGTCCTTGTTGTTTCCGGTGATCCAATAAAGGTATCAGTCGAAAGAGTTGAGTGTAGTAATTAGCAAAAAATTCAAGATTATCTGATTCACATGTGAATAACCCTGTAAAATATGTTTTTGATATATAAAGTTTGATATTTTAAGCCTTGTATCTTACAGTGTCCAAATTTTTCGCAATTATGATACAGATATATATATATTAATATATAGATATAGATATATATTGTATTGTTACAGTCAGAACTCGTTAAACGATGTACTTGTTTTGGCTCAAAACATCGTTTTATCAAATATTCGTTTTATCAAGTAATCTTTGATAAAACGAAGTTAAAAAAAAATTTCGGTTTAAAAAAGTTATACATCAAAGTTTACATATTCATCTATACTACGTTGATGCGATAGTAAACTTTTATATAATAAAATGCTACTTCTAACAGAACGAATACTATCTTCTAGACCTGAATGTTTTCCTTTGCGTAAACGTTTATTATGTGAATTGGGATCTTCTGGATTAATAGCAAGATATTCTGACTTTCGTTTCAATATGTCACACAAACAGTATTTTCACGAACAGCAAAGTCTTTATTCGTTAGAGTAGGTTTTGATTGTTTTAGAACACATATTTCTCTTTTATCTTTCAACGTCAGTGTATTTTTCATTTTTAATTTTGGGAACAATACGTACTACTACTTCTGTAAATCATTTATTAAAATTGTAGAATAAAGTGATATTATTCTTCTTATCAAGTTATAGTTTACTATATATGGAACCATATGAAAACATCGTCTTAAACAATAGGAATCTTCGCCCTATCAGTTGATTTTATTATAAATGAATTGGTAAACTAGAAAAACTTTATTATAACAAGAATTCGTTTTATCGAGTTCCGTTTTATCGAGTTCCAACTGTATTATGCAAAAAACTCAATTGTGGTCTGGGGCCTTATACTCGGTTTTTGTTCCAGATCAAACAAAATTACATTGATTATTTTTTCTCAACACTGTACTACTGACAAAATTACATTTCCAATATAAAAAGTACATCAATGTTAATAAATAAATTTGTTTAAAAGATGACGTTGGAATGTTGTAAAGACATATTCTGTGATCTCAAACCATTTTTCAAAATTAAAAAAAATCCATTTGTATAAAAGAAATAAATGTCATGTTTTCAGAATTTTAAAAAGTGAACATGCAATAATAATAGAATATGGTCTTTTATGAAGAATACACCAAAGGTACGAGATCTTGTTATTTCTAGAAATATAGAAGCTTGTCATTATCTTTAAAAAACAACAACTAAATCACCCAATAGCAATAACCTTCAAAACCTTTTCCATAAAAAAATTAATGATTCAGATAATTAACATATCCTCTTTTTCATTATAAAAAAATGATGGCTATTAGCCTAAAGTAAATGAAATAGTGACCTTTTATACCAATTAAACCGGTCTTTATATATTAATATGGAAAATTCGTTTATTAAATCACGGATTTACTATAAAGAAGAAAAAAATGGAATAACGAATCAAGACGATCGTATATTTATAGATGTTAATGTGAAAGTATTGACCAGTCCTTGTGAAGACCAAACAGGGATATTAAGCTAGATTTGGACACTAACATGAAAAATTCATATGTCTGAATTACGACAAGCTAAATAAAAAATTTAATTAAAAGATGAGAGAAATGATGAACATTATTTACGATCACGAATCAAAATTATTTTTTTATGATTAAAGAACGTTATTCAGTTGTTAGGACCTATATGTTCGGTATCTGTGATTATATCCATTTCGCATTACATGAATTGAATGTCATTACTGCTTCAAATAGTGAAAAGTTAAGAAAAATATACTTGATGGATTTCCAACATTTAATTTCAGTTAGACCTTGATGATAAACCAGAAGTTGACAATCTTTGTTCTCAATTTGTCTAGAACTAAACTAAGAAAAGATGTCGTAGACAATTAGCTGAAACTCACAAAAATAAGCATTTAATTGTTGAATATTACCAGGGTATTTTGTATAACTAACTGGTTATTAAATTTTTAACCCCCGAAAAAACTGAGACCCTATTTCAGTCAGGGATTCGATTCCAGAATAATCTGCTGATCAAATCAAAAATGAATTTACTATTAATCATAATCTGTTGCTAAAAATTTAGTTTTTAATTATTTATTCTTTTTTTTTTGACCTTTAATGGATACAACACCATCTGCTGATACCTTACCATGCTTATTTGCTTCGCTTCACTTACTCAAAGATATTCTGAGAACAATTTGAATTAAAATTAATCAATCTTGAAGATGAGCATCAGAAAGGAACGTGTACAACTTTTTACCAAGAATTATATCTTCATTATTTAGATTATTCTCACATTACAATCAAACTGTATTATAACAAAATAAATAGACCTGTTTAAATATATAAATTAATCGTCTAATTTCATCCACAAAAGGTATTTTGATCTGAATTTCCAATTATTTGAATTATACTTACTAAAGCTTGTTTAAAGAATTAGGTAGGAAATATTTAGAGAGTAAATTAGTGCTATATAAGCAAGAAAGAAGAAAGGAGGAGGAGGTACGTTATGCATCATTAAGTACTGTATTTTAAAAAGAATATACATTTTAACAAGTGTTTTCCTGATATATTTTTATTAATTATTAATATATTTATTTAATATGTATTTATTATATATATATATTTAATAATACTATAACAAATATTCGGAAAACTCTAGTTAACAAGTATCATTATAAACAACTATTTTGAAATAATTATTGAAGGATCTTTGTGATAGATTATGAAAGAATGAGAAGAAATTAGGCAAAAAAGAAATATTTATAATTTTTTTTTTTTTTGATTATTAAATAAGATTATATTAATATGTCAAGTCAGGGCGCAAAAAGCACTTGAATTTTATTTTATTGCGAAACCAAAAAACAAAAACAACTTATTATATTATTTAATGATTATGCCAAATAATAAATGCTTCATCATGATCAAAATCTTTGCTCTCTGATCCCTCAATACTAAAGATGGGAACCACAATTAGCCACAATCCAATTTTCACATGTCGCAACTGCAATTGCAATTCAATTTTTATATGTCACAATTAATTGAGGAGCCATCTTTATTCATGTCTAAGGTTTTTGTGCTAAGTGAATTACATAATTTTGACTCGATCAAGTTTTATACACTAAACCCCTCTCACAATCCACACTTGAAAAGGAAATACTATAAATTTTAATTAATCTAATAATGCTTGGAAAAACATCTGAAAAATCATAAATAGTAATAATTATTGTTTTAAAACAAGATAACCATCCCGACATTCATTTTCATTATACCATTAATATTGGTGGTATTCCTCATGACCGAAAAAATCTATTGCTCCTGGAAACTTTCCGGTAAATTTCAATTGTCCTGTATTAAGAGTGCATAATATTTATTTAATTAGTACTTGTTTTATATTGATATGTTTGCTATACATTAATTAGAAAATAACATCATTTGGATTGCTTGATTCTTGGTAGTCTCGTATAACAGTTAAAAATACACGTTTTGTGTAAATTTGAAAGTTATTATGATCATTTAATAAAACTCTCGCCAAGTTTGTCTCGATTTTTATAAAAAGATCTGCATAAATTTTAGCCAATCATTGTTCTTCTAGAATTTTTTCATTACGTTGATCATTACGGTATTTAGTATTTCCATCTAGGGTAATATTCTGACTGTATATATTTTTATTATGTTCAATGAATGATGTCAGTTACAATCAAAAAAGATATTCTATTTGTTTGTTAAAAAAATTTTTTAAAGAAAAATAAAAACAGCGGAGAAATAATGATAATTAATAAATAAATAAATGATATATTAATATTGATAAATAAATAATGGTAAATTGATAAATAAATAATGATAAAATTGATAAATAAATAAGTGATTATTAATTTAATTTTTTAATAACACTTAATTCACACACGCACATTTTCATTGTTTCGTTGTTATTCATTTTTTTTAGTGTTAGAGTATTTAATATTGATATTAATATTATTTGGCGTAAATTAATTTTGTGGCTTAATATTAAAAATTTTCTAATTCATTCTTTTATATTTAGAAACTTATTTGTAAAAGAAACACTTAGGCACTATTATAGCACCCCATTAATCCATGCATATTACCCCCATAATAATTTGTCTAACCAAAAAATTTATTTATTTGTTTAAATTCCCCATTCTTTGGTCAAAATTTTTTTATTTTATAATAATATTTTTTTCAAAAAATTGTGAAAAAGATTATTAAAAACCTAGAAATATTTTAGGTTTAAATAAAAAATATTTTTTTATTCAACCATATGAATAATTTGACCCTTTCAATAGAAAGTCAAATCGACAACGAGTTTATTTTAGTTCGCCCCGAAGATATTGACACCATCACAACTTCCACTTTGGACAATATTCTTTCAACTTCTCCTTTAACAACAATTCAACATAATAATAATAATCGACAACAACAACAACAGCAGCAGCAACAACAACAACAACAACAACAACAACAATTTAATATTCACAGGCAGGGTTCAATAGCAACGAACTCAAATATGTCCCCTATCCTAACCTTAACTCAAAAGGAAAGTGGAAATACAAAAGATTACCCATCTGACATTGCTTCTTCTTCTTCTTCTTTATATCCTCAAACTGCACAAGATCCTCAGAGAGTATTACGCCAAATGATGAATCTTTGCAGACACATCTATTCAAGGGGTTTAGTTGACGGAAGTGGTAGCGATGTAACTATTAAAGCATTTGGCAAAGATTATCTTTTACATAGAATAATACTTTATCAAAACCCATATTTTTCTGTTTTATTAGAAGGTCCTTGGAAAGAGAGTGGTCAAAAGGCCATTGAACTTAAATTTGATGATGTAAATATTACTCGTGAAGCATTTGAAATAGCTTTAGGTCGTTTGTATGGTAGATTAGATGAATATATATTACCCAATCGGGTTCTAAACTTACTTGCCACAGCTTCTTTTCTTGATCTGCAAGATTTATGTGAAATGTGTGTGGAAGTTATACTACGTGACATTAAAGATGACACCGTTGTACATTATCTTACTTTTGCTACAACCCATTTTTATGGAAGTCATTCTGAAAAAATTACTGAATCTTGTTTTACTTACCTTTGTAGAGAAGGTTATGATAATAATAAATTGAAGGCTGCTTTTTTGACATTACCAGTTGAATGGTTAAAGAAAATAATCGAGAGTGACGCGTTTTGGGTTCCTTCTGAATATGAAAGATATTTATTTACTAGAGATATCGTTAGTAAAAGAAGACAGCAGCAACAGCAACAGCAACAAAGTAATCCAGAACCAAAAAAAAGAAATAATTCAATAAACTCAATAAATTCAATAAACTCATTTGATGATTTAAATCAATACAGTTCACAAGATTATAAAGATTATAACGATCAATCAGTTGACATCTCAAATCCAACGACTCCAACAACTCCAACAAATAAAATAAAAAAACTAATTGATAACACATTTAATTATCATACCAGAAGACCAAGCACAATAACAACTCCGTATTCGACAACTTATTCAATTGATAATTACGATGAATTTATTTATAATGCAATATTTACATATGCAATTTACTATGCTCACATGACTTTTGAAGAATTGAATTTTATTCTACGAGATCGTGATACTGTAAACAATAATGCACCATTTGCTCCAGATTATGTAGCAAAGGATGCTTTATGGCAGCAAATAGATTTGCGTAATAAAATAGAAAACACTTCGGAGACAGATTTAACAATAGGGATTTCCTCTTCAGAGATTCCATCGAGCTCGACGGGTGTACACTTTGAAATTCCATCAGACGATACAACTCATATAGGAGAAGCTGTAACTGGGTTAGAAGATATGATTGGCAGCAATGGCAGTAGCGTTAATGGCAAAGGTGGTGCTTCTAAAGCAATTAAAGATGGTGAAGGTAGAAGAAGCGTTGAATATTCATTATTTGCTCCTTTTAGGTTCAGTGTTGAATTTACGGATGTTGCAAAATTAAAAGAAAAACAACGGGTTTATTCAGCAACAAAATTCTATGCCGGGTAAAATTTTATTTTTAATTCGTTTGATTCTCTTTTTATACACACGACAATAATAATTTTAATTTTTGTTGTAAAATGTTAAATTTATGATGTTTAGGTCTAATTGGAATATGTATATTCAAAAAATAAAAACTCCTCGTAAAGGCATACAACTTGGAGTATATCTTCATCGTCATTCAATGCCTGATATGTCATCATCATGTGTTAATTCATCATCGTTAAATTCATCATCGTTAAACTCATCATCACCAACAAAAAACTCACAAACTTTGCCTGGGTCAGAAGAACGTTTTAATAATAACAGTAATGGAGGTGGTAATAATAATAATAATAATAATAATAATAATAATAATGGCAACAACAACAATAACACATCGTCATCGTCGTCTTCATCGTCAACTACAGCGGCGAAATCAATACCACGTCCAAATATCAATAATAAAAATAACGAAAGAACCTTTTCTAAATATGCAGACAAAAGAGAAAATGTTAGAACTTGGTTTAAAATATTTTGCCCATCAAGAGGGCCAAGTCATGTATTAACACAATTTCAAAGCAGTCCAGATAACTTTGCTTTGATGCAAAGTTGGGTTAGTAATGAATTTGATAATTGATTTATTGGTTTGATTTGACTTGATTTGATTTGATTTTATAATAATATTAACACGTAAATAAAATAAATAAATTCTATTTAGGGCTGGCGTAGTTCGAGTCTTTGTCAGGATGATTATCTTATGGATGTGCGTGATTATGATAACTCGTCTTCGATTTCAAATGCATCTTCTACATTAAAATTTTCGGTGGTTATGGGACACGTATAACAAAATCAACAAATAATAAACCAACAAATAGATAAACATTATAGATAGAAGAAGTTATATATACATTTGTAATTTTTTATAAAAAAGTTTATTTAAATAATTTCTTTGTATTAATTGTAATATAAAAATTTTTCATTTTTATTTTAGAATTTTTAATACAGAATATAAAAATCAATATAAATTTAGATTCATATACAATTTTATGTAAAATAAATTTCCCCCAGATTTTTTTACTTATATTTAACGCGTACACAAAAAAATGTTCTATATACAAATTTCATCGGCCTCATTGTAACATTAAATATTTTTTTATTTGAAAAATTAAAGAATTTACCGCTAGTGCTGGCTCTCTAATTCATTGACATCAAAAGAATATACATCGAATCTATATACAAATTCTCATTTGAGTATGTGGTAGATAATAAAAAATGTCCTAAATACAATTAGAATTGTTTTTTATCGATAGGCATTAGTCGATTTATATGAGAAAAAAGCCGATATTAATATTAAGGCGCGTTTATCATGTGACAGACAATATCGAGTATGTATGCTCTTTTATAAATTTTTTATTTTGTTTATTATTATAAAAACAAATCTTTTGGTTGTATATTGAAAGAAAATATAATGTGTAATCGTCATCTGTTCTATTTCACACTTCCACTTGATTTTTTGATTGATAGTCAAAAAGTTTGACATACAGGCAAGACAAAATTATTATTTTCATGGATTGCAATGAACTCTACACTTCTTCCTAGGCGTTTCCCAACTACTGAAATTTATTCATTGGCAGTTCACGGTAGGGTATTTTACGATTTTTTGTTTGTTGTTTATTTATATTAATAATATATGTGAATTTACACAAAGATTTAGAGATAAATTGTTGGGAAGGATTACTTCATTCGATGTTGTTATTCAATCTCTTTGAAAAAAATGAGATTTATGACGTTGATAGTCACGACCCATTTTGGCAATTCTGTGAAAAGAGGCGTGCTTATATATGAGGAAAAAGGAAGGTGTGCTGGCTGCTCTTAGTCAGCAAAAATCTTAATGAGCATAATGTATGAATGAGTGTAACAAACACGATTGCAAATCTCGCTACCCAAAAATTCCTGCTGAGGATCAAACATAAAGCTGGTTATAAAAGAGTAATGTTTTATTTTGCTGGACAACCTCCAAGTTCAAATATATGAAGGAAACCTAATCATTTGTTACAAAATGTATTTTGAAGAAATTGAAAATTCTCTTGGTTGACCTATATCTACATACCATCTTACAACATTGTCTCTATCCTGACAGATTTTCTTGAAATCAGTTGTTTGTTATACCAAAATTAAATTAAGGAAACAAGAAACTTGAAACCTGAAACCTTTTTCTGAAGGAATATATATCATGACAATTAATTCAGCAATTGTCATGAATATCAGAGCACCTGTCTTTAGATGTATGTTATGAAAATGTAAAGCCAAGTAGCATCCCATCTCCATTTACCGTAAAGATCATTCAATAACAAAAATAAAATGATAACGACATAAATAAGCACAAAATTAAAAAAGAATTCTTTTTTAATTTTTAATTTTTAATTCTCGATTAATTAGTTTTTAAGAGTATTAATGATATATTTTTCTATTTTTTCTATTAAACTTTGATTTATAATAAGAAAATTGTTGGATATTGTATATACTTCTTTATAAACTTTATCTCTCGGAAGAGGGACGTAGTCTTTTAACCTCAAATTTGGACTAGTACAGGAACTGGTTTAGCTCTTTGATTGGTCTTTTTAGAAATTTTCTAAAAATAATTGTCTTAAAAAGTCTGTCATAGTTTATTTGGTTTAAGATTCGTGCAACATTAATTTTTTTTTCTTCCCTTCCACAAGAATTCCAAATTTCTATGTTTGTAGCTCATTTGAATTGATTTGCTTGATTTGTTTGATTTAATTTTTCTTTTTTTTCTTTTCGTATGTTTTAATTCTTCTCCTTTTCATTCATTCATTCCTGCCGTATATCACTATCTCTTCCTTCTTCCTTTTATATCCTCTCTTATACAAAAAATTATATAATAACATCAATTATTATCCTTTACTCCTAAATAGTTATCTCCTTTGTTATTTAAAATTGTATTCTACCAATAAATAAATTCCAATTTTCTAATTCTAACAATAATCTATTATTAGTAAAATTATTTTGTCAACTTCGTGTTTCTAATTTATTTCTTTCATTCTTTTAAATATTAAAAAGAAAGTCATTATATCAATAGCGGTAATTATAAATAAACTAATAATTTAATTATTGGTTTTTTTTAATATTAATTTCATTTTAATCATAAAATCAAACTTTTAGAACCAATCAATATCATCAACATCATTCATTGGTAATATTAACTGCTACTGTGATTACCATTAAAACTACATTAATACGAAAAAGTATCCGCGCACACTATATATATATAAAGTTTCAAATGTCATCATCATACAATGAGCTATCTTATGAATCACCCTATGTATCACCATTATCAAATCACGCATATATTATTTGTGAAATAATAAGGTATTTAAATCGTCAGGTAGATCTAGTTTCATGTTGTCAAGTATCCAAGCTTTGGAATACTTGTGCCATACCATCATTATGGCGGTCACCAAAAATAAAACACATTTCTACTTTAACAAAATTTGTAAGAACACTGGTTAGAACACACCAGGGTATCACAATGTATTCTTATGGGTGTATGATTCAACATTTGGATTTGTCACGAGTAAATCTTGCTTGCGAGTCAGCTGAATTAGGTTTAATTGCTGAAACATGCGGCGTCTTGAAAAGTATTAATTTAACAAATGTTCAGCATCTGAGCGAAGAAATATTAAGCAGATTTTCTAGTCGGTGTTCCGATTTAAGATCACTCACACTGTTAAATCTACCATATATCGCAGACAAATCGATGATTAATGTTATAACTAGATGTCATCGATTGGAACATCTGGCATTTGGAGATTGCTTAGGCATCAAAGATCAATCAATACTTCAACTCGCATATTCAGCAAAAAATCTTACGACGCTTGAAATATTTTTTAAAAATAAAATCGAAAACGATTCATTTATACTCATAACCAAAAATTGCATGAGGTTGAAAAATATACACATTTGGGAATGCGAATTGTTGAGTGATGCAGCCGTAACAACCATGGCAATAAATTTAAACACACGACTTGAATCCTTAATACTGCACAACATAAAAAACATCACAGACGTATCATTAACACAAGTAGCAGTCAGATGTACAAACCTACGGAATCTGGGATTAGAACCATATGAAGGAGTAACAAATGAGACGTTGATTGCATTTGCTGATTATGCAAAAAAATTGGAATCATTTGAAATCTCGCTTAACAAAGCACAAAATATTTCTAATGATGGGTTTATAGCGATAGCTGATGGATCAAAGCAACTTAGTAAAGTGACGTTTCAATCGTCAACCTTGAACGTAACAGACATCACGTTAAATATTATGTCAGTAAGATCTGCAACAACTTTGACGTGCTTACATCTTTACAATTGTAGTTTTTCAGATTCGGCATTTACGGTATTAGAAAAAGCGAGACCGCCGATAAATGATTTATGTCTGTTCACATTGCCAAATATCACAGATGATCCAATAATCAGATTTCTTTACAGTATTTCCAATACACTTACCTCTTTACAATTGTCTAATTGTGAGAGCATTACAGAAGAGTGCGTAGTGTCGGGAGTTAGCGAGTGTAAATTGTTGAAAAAATTGTCATTGTATTTGTCTAATGATTTTACAACAAGAGGATTAGATGCAATAGTAAAATTACGTGACAATTTAAAAGAATTATCTTTAGCGAGTATAGAAGATATTCCAAGTGAGGTATTGTTATTTTATGTATATATGCGTGTGTATATATAATATATTTAATTTATTAACATGTATATGTAATTAATATTGTTAATTATTACTAATCAAATAACATCGAATAAAGGCTGCGGCGCCAAAATTAGCGAGTCTAAGAAATCTTGGGGAATTACGAATTCGAGATTGCTCAAATTTAAAACCAGACGATGTCCTTACAATATGTTGTGGTTGTCATCAACTTGAAGAATTTTTCTTTGGTTGTGGTAATTATATAACAGAAGAATTTGTTCAAGAATATAATTATTACGGAAAGAATAGACCACTTTTGGTGATAGGCCCAGAAACCTAAATCTGATGATTTATTAACGTTCCTTTTTCTTTTTTTTGGAGAAAACCCTATATATATATATATACATAACATTTTATATTGCATTCTTGTTAATGAAATGGACATTTAGAAAGGAATATATAGACAAGGTTGAAGTCTGAATTTTCATCAAAGATTGAATATGAAAATTACTTGATATATATATAATAATAATAATAATAATAATACAAAAAAATTTGAAACATAAAATGTATAATTATAAATTTATACACACATGCGCATACATACACACACACACACATGTTCAATAATCCAACCCATTCATTCATTTTTTAACCGTTGATTTCTTTCAATTTTTTTGTATTATAAAAAAAAAAGTGAATTAAATTTCATTAGAGTAATTAAAAAATAATAAATTGTGGCAATGATGATTTTTATGAAAAAATCAAATATAATCATGCTCTTCCTTTCTTAAATCATTCATTTGTCTTTGACGTCATCATCGACATCTTCGCCAACTTCTCTCAATTGGAAGTGTCGTCAATTAATATTTTCACATGAACGTTATAATAAATTTGAATAAAGAAGATCTTTCCAAGTATGATAACATGGTAGATATTACACATGTTTAATTGCCAATTTCGATGCAACAAACAAACAAAAAAAATTTAAGTTTGAAAATCTATTTTTTTTTTTTAATAAACTTTGAAAGTATAGATTATGAAAATTCACACACAATGAATGACAGATGTTGTGTAGTTATTAAAAGTTAAATTTAATATATTGAAGAAACTGATTATTTTTA